TTAATGACACCAGTATATTACTACTAGTTTTCAAAGAAAATAGACAGTATATTACTACTATCTGTCAAACAGTATATTACTACTATTTGTTTTTCCAACCAGATTATTATTTTGTAAAACCACATAAAATAATTTCTGTAAGAAAAAGAAAGAGAAAAAGGAAACAAACGAAAAATTCTGTGTAAACAGAATAATTCGAATATGTCTTAAGATTGTTGAAACAATCTTCTGTGTACAAAAAAAATAAATGAAAATTCAAACAAAAAAAAAATAAAAATAAATTGACTAAAATATTAGAAAATTAATAAAAAAAAATGAAAATTCGAACAAAAATTGGTGTGTATTTTTGTTTGGATCTTCGTTTGTTTTTAGTGAATTGTTTTCATATTATAATTAAATTTGTTTACTTTTTAGATATATCTAATCTTGATGTGTCTAAAAAGTAAAATATAAAATGACTAAAATATAAAATAAAAAAAATTCATTAAAGACAAACAAAAAATCATCTAAAACTAATTTTTGAAAACTATAACTAAATTAATTTTCTAATGATCAGATAATTTTTGAAAACTGTAGCTAAATTAATTTTCTAATGATCACTTTAGGCTTATAGAACCTTTAGGCTTATACCATCAACTAACACTTCAAATAATTTTTTAAATCTAGCCCAATCTTAGATCGAGCTTATATTTTAATACCAAGCCCATCCAAAAGAAAAATAAAAAATGATAATCCCAGTCATACAACCTAAATATTATTTAATATATATATTTTTTTAATCAATGAGTGTGTTTTTTAAGCTCAACCCTTATTATAATTGAACCTTAAAATAAATAAATAAAAGGCAAACACAATCGGTTTAAACTACAATTCCAAATCTTAAAATTTAAGATAAATTACAAATATATCTCTTGAGTTTTGTTTAAAATATAATTTGCCCCCTCTAACTTTGAAAATTATATCTCGTCCCTTGAAATTTCTATTTTCGTAATAAATAACCTTTTTTTTATTAATAAATCATCTAGTTAATTAGCAGTTTTTAATAATATGAGAGATTTATTTCAATTAATAATTTATGCTATTTTTTATTTTTTTCAATTAATTCTGTTAAATAAAAAATTATGACAAGGAAAGTATTTATAATTTTTCAAACAACATGACAATTTATATTTAAAAAAAGAACCTTAAAAAATATATTTGTAATTTATCCAAAAAATTACTATACAATCCCAGACAAACTTGGATACCAATTCCCTATCCAAAAAATAATAATAATAAATAATAATAAAAAATCAATAAATAAAGAGAATTTATTAAGAAATCTTTTTTCAAGTACTTATATCCCATTAATCCATAATATATTCTTATATTTCAATAAGTTCTATTATTTGGACAATTGATTCACCAAATCTTAATTTTCATATTGAAAGTATTTTATGAATAATTTTACCCTTACAACTATTTTTTGAATGCTCAGCAACTTGGTGATGTGCATTAACAGTATGAACATCCACACCACAAAACATCCAGACTACATGAATATTATTATTAGGGTATTTTGATAACTATGTCACCCATAAAACTTATTGGAATATAAGAAAATAATTTGAACTAAATAAAACATTAGTAAAGAGAGATTATGCCCCATAAATAAATAATCAAGTCAAAGTCACAAGAAATACCCACATGAAATAAACTTGCAATTAGCATATACTCAATGATTTGGTAAAATTTGCCAAAATAAATACAGGAAGCCGCTTATTTTTTGACAGAACACAGTACGCTGATTAATACACTCCGCTCGCTTTTCTGAAGAAGGGTCACTTACTCGTAGTCATCAAGCTCATTATATCTGGAAGTAGCTCATAAAACAAGAGAAAATATTCAATTACTCGATCTAACCAGGTAATGTTGCTGCTTCATCTTCATCATCAAGTTCCTGCTCCACCGCTTTAACCTGCACAGGAAGTTCCAGTAAGGCGAACTAAAATGAAAGATCAGAGAAACTGCCGTGTAATTCAAAACTTGATAGTCCAACCAACACAAATGAATTGAAATCACCAATGTGAACTTGCTAATGTAACATAAAGGCACAAGACTGAAAATATGGACCCGCTGTAAAAGAAATGAAAACTCGAGTCTCAAACTTGAGATCTAATCGAGTGAAATAGCAAATAAAACAAACAGAATTTTTATCAGAATTCACAGCAATTAAAACAATGGAAAGATGGAAAACAGAGAAAATTATTAGAGCAAGGCTTCAACATATGGAAGGAAAAACAAAGAAAAGGGGACTCTAGAACTTGCATCTTTTTAAAAAATACTATCTATCTTAATTTAGTGTTTTTGAGGACTGATATTAATCGCTTAGTTAGTTCACTTCTCGTACAGAAAATATATATATATATATATACATATATTGGATGCAGTTTAACCATTTGAGTAAGGTAGCAAGAGAATAATGCAATAGTTTAGCTAAGAGTTTCCTTAAAGCCATAGGTATGTCTTCCCCAAAAGCTACTCTACTGGTAACTGGAAAAGAAACATATTCTTCAGTCACAAGAGAGTGACCACTAGCAAGGGCATAGCAAAGATTTTAGTCAAATAATAGCAACACCTTACCAAGAAACATACACGGAATTTTTTACTATTTGCCTTTTGTCAACATTTATTCATCATGTTTTAGTCACAAGCATACCATTGACAAAATTGTTTGCACATTTCATGCAAAATTGTCCGGCCAGGCTGACTATTATTAGTATATTCACACCAAAATCAAAATGGAATGTAATAATCAATCAAGAATTATATTGTTTATCCTATTACAGACTATCAATAATGGTGGTTTTTTTTTTTTTTTTTTTTTGGATAAATATCAATAGTGGTGGTGTTGAAGGTTTTCTTTACAAAATAAAACCAAAAGCTGTAAGAAGGTTAACATTTGAAGAAATTTACAGAGTTGGCATTCGAAAAGACCAAATTTGAAATTCCCCAAATCATAAATGCTGAACTTAGATCAAAAATCATCTAGAACCAGTTATGCACAACAAGAAACAGTCATCTAGAAATCATACAAACATATATTATTCAGGGAAAAAATCAGAAGACATATACATTAATCTTACATTAATACAAGAAAATATTTGAGAGAACAAAAAAAATACAACACATACAGATCCAACATTAATCGTTCCATTTCTTTCCACAAATGCAGATTGAACAATCAGTCACCCAAGTCATGGATGACATATGTTACCTGGAACGTAGATCGTCCAGTACATGGAACGGGAATGGGAGTATGGTACGCCACATACTCTAGAACACATGACGTAAATATATCATAGGCAGTGTGAGATTAACTCAACAAATCATAGAACACATGACGTAAATATATCATAATTTCAGGGAAAACCGTTCAGACAACCTATCCTCATGATTATATCCAAGTTTATGATCTCTCTCCATCCATCCTACTTTTAAGTGTCAGACTACAATCATAAACAGCAAGAATCTAAATAATGACTGTTACCTCAGGCACATAATGCATCAGCATGTTCTCAATGCCAGATTTCAGAGTAACAGATGAGCTAGGGCAGCCGCTGCATGCTCCTTGCATTCTAAGTTTGACTATTCCTGTATCTCTGAGGAAAGCAAAATGTGCATAAGAATTCAATTATGCTGCATCACAAATAAAGAAATTATTCAATTCAGTCTTCAGCATTTAAAAAGTATTTGATGGAAGAAACCTAAGGATCAAATCCCCGGTACTCAATATCTCCACCGTCATCTTGTACTGCAGGTCGGATACGAGTTTCCAACAGTTCTTTAATCATTGCAACAATCTCTGAATCATACTGCAATAGGGACCATGAGAAATGATCACAAGTCTGGGACTAGAACACCATTGAATAGGCATATAATCATAAATATTAGCAATAAAATATCCCCTAGAGTTCTAACTCCAAGTGTACGTCTGGTTTTCTTTCAACCCTAATCACTACGTTCCTTCAAATGTAATAGCATACCACATCAATGAGCTCTGCACACAAGTTAATAGATCTGTAAAACGCAAAATGGATAAATGGTACTCAACTGGCAGTCATATTTCTTTCATAATGCAAATAGAGACAAAAAAAGGGTTGTAGCAAAAATTGTGTAACCTCCCCAGACAAAAAAACAAAGAGACCACGGAGATTTGAGAGAGACAAAGAGAGATTGATCTGAGAGAGACCAAGTATACCTGAGATGGAAGAGGGCGACAAAAGGCAAGGAGTCGGCGACGGAAGGCGGTGACGCGAGGAGGCAAAAGACCGGCGACGCAATATGGTGGTAATGGGCTGTGGAGGCTACGGCAAGCAGAATTTGTGGGAAATGATTTCGCGGTAAAAAGGGTTTCAATACAATTTCCAGAGGGCTCAGTGCTCTTCATATGTAGCCAGCCGGGAAGACCGACGGTAAAGTAACTAGCCTTTTAACCAGGCCGTTGGACGCCCAAAATGTATCATGGTTGGCTAAGAAAAATGCTTTATACCCCCACTGGGTCGACCCAGTGAGGTGGAGGCCCGTGATTGGGTAAAAAAAAAATTATTATTATTATTATTTTTTTTCTTTTTGGTTGTTAGCCAGTGGGGGCGCGCCATCTCACTGGGGGTGCGACCCCACTAGGGGTATTTAGCACGGTTGGTTGGCTAAAGTGTCTAACATGCCCCTTTTAATCAATTCATTAGAGTTGTTTAAAATAGTCAAAAATTAAAGAGGGATTTAGTGATAGACTCATCACTGTTTAATTTGTCTTTCAAAAGAATAAAAATTATATAGGTACTTTCAGAACTTTTTAATATTTTAAAACTTGTTTCTTTTACTATATCTCTCATATCTATCAACTCTCCTATTAAGTCATATTCATAGTGTATTTCAAAATAAAATTTTACTGTCATATTCATAGTGTATTTCAAAGTAAAATTTTACTTTGAATCATAGTAAACTTTACTCTGATAATATTTTACTTTGAATCAGAGTAAAGTTTACTATGATTCAAAATAAAGTTTTACATTATTAAACAAATCAACATGTTTTTAATCAAAGTAAAATTTCAGAATAAAATTTTACTCTGATTTTTTTTTTTTTTTATACTATGATTCAATGTTCAAATGAACACAACCCACTTCTCTGTATAAAAAATTAAAAAATTAATCTCGAAATACATTTTCACAAAAACATAGATAATTTCAATGATAAATATTCGAGACATTTTGCGTTTGTTTCTTCTGTTACTTTCAATAAACGCTTGTACAAAGCCTATAGAGAGAGAGAGAGACCAACAATCCAACAACACCACTACCTCTGGTCAAAATCTATTTAGATTTCTATATATTTATTTATGTGCATAATCAATCAGGTAAGAGATTGATCTGTGACTATATATAGATGTCAATTCCTTGAACCTCAAGCCTTGATCCTTGGCGACTTTAACCCTGACCAGATCCCTGATCGTCAAGGCCAACTTTGAGGTCGCGAGCATAGCATTCGCGATCTTCGGCCTCTTTATCTACAGTTGCAGTGGTGTTGGGATCAACAACTAACTGAGCAGTGGTCGATGACAGATCGGAGAAGAAAATGAAGATGAGAAAGAAGAGAGAATAGAGAAAAAGAGCCAGATCTGTATGTCTATGTGTATGTATGTATTTATCTTGTGTGACGATTGTTTAGCGACATCAAAGATGAAGGAAGAGCAGAGCAGCGGCGAGACTAGATCTATTCATTACGCGACCAGATCTCGTCGCCGGAGATTGCGATGAGAGAGGAAGTGAAACCGACGGACGGCAGCGACAAGGGAAGAGATCGACGGGTGGCCTCTGACATGGCTATGAAGAGAAGTTGTGTTTAGAGAGGTGGGGAGGGAGACAGAGAAGGTAGAGAGAGAGAGGGTGGAGAATGTGAGAAGATTTAGTTGAAGGTATAATAATCTGATAAAATATTTAAATAATAATTTTTGTCCTTTATGCACGACTTTATAATTATGAAGGGGTTTAAAAAGTATAATTTTTTTTCTTAATCCTTTTAACAATGAAATGAAGGTAAATGAAGTTTATAACCAAATTTTTCAAATTTTAAAATAACATATTAAAATAACTAACTTCCCAAACAGGGTTAAGACAAGTGTTTGAGTTATTAAGACTTGGATTATAACTTCAGAATTTTTAATTTAGCTAGTTTTATAAATTAATCAGTCTCTTTTAGCCAGTTTATTGGAGTTGCTTTAAAATAACTAAAAATTAAAATAACATGTTAAAATAATCAACTTTCCAAAAAAGGCATAAGACGAGTGTAGTTGAGTTATTAAGACTTGGATTATAACCTCTAAATTTTTAATTTAGCTAGGTTTATAAATTAAAAATAAAAATGTAATATAACTTTTTTATTTTATAAGATAAATTATAAATATACTTGTAAGATTTGCTTAAAATATAGATTATTTTTTGTAATTTAAAAAATTTAAAATATATCCTTATTAGAATTTTTATTTGATAGAATTAACTGAAAATATGAAATTATATTCATACACACTAATAAAATTATAGAACTATTAATTAAAATAAATTATTAATATCATTAAAAGCTATTAATTGATTTGATAATTTATTAATAAAATATACTATGAAATTGAAAATTTTTCAACGTGACGTAGACAATTCGATTTTAAACATATTTTGTAATTTATCCTATTATATAAATATCTATAGCCTCCGTTTGGCAAGGGTTTTTTCAGGCTTTTTTGGTTATTTTAGTCACAAAAAACAAAATAGACTATTTTAGCCATAACAAACAAAACATCACATCCAACCCATAATCATTACATTCTTCTCTCACAAAAAAAGTCAAAAAAACCAAAAAGCCAAAAAAACCCTTCCCAAACCAAACTTTTTAGCCCAGACTAAAATAGCCAAAAAAACCAAAAAGTCAATCCCTTCCCAAACGGAGGCATAATATTATCAATTTTTTTATACACTAATAAAGACATATTCAAGGGTTTAGGTTGAACATGCCCAGAAATCGTAACCATCCAAGAAGATATAGAGAATTTGTCTCAAGCATTTGATCAAACAGCTATCGGGCTTCCCTCATTCGACAACAACGATTAACCAGTAGCAACTGAAGTCCAAGTTCTCACATTCTTGCCTGCAAACGAGTCAAAGAGCGCTTGAGCCTCGTCTAATCGGCCATTTTGGGAGTACCCACAAATCATAGAGTTTCAATCCAAGCTGCAGTCTCTCTATCATATCATCAAACAGGTTTCGATCTTCTTCATCGACTCGGCCGAGCCTTCCAAGCTCTTCAATCCTCCTCGTGTTGCATGCAAAAGGTTAGATTGTGGAGTCTCTTCTCTTCAATTGGTTGAGCAGGAGAGAGAGCAGCGAGAGAAACAAAAGTTATCGCCGCAATTAGGAACTCTTTGGATTGTGGAGTCTCTTCCCTCTCTCTTCTCTCTCTCTCTCTCTCCTATTTTTGTCCATTGAATTCGTCTTTAAATTACATATACATTCAGTCTCACAACTATTTCCCCAATTTTCCTGGGAAACAAACACATCCCAGATTGAATTTTTCTGAAACCCTAATAAAATTTTTGATATGGAGAGTTGTCGCCCCTGTAAGAGTTGTGGAAAGAGGACTATCGTCTCCGACGACGCAACGTGCAGCTTGGTCTGCGCGTCGTGCGGAATCATCCAAGAATTTGATGATTTACAACACCATTTTGGAGGCCTCAGCGGCCCCACCGGGACGTTTGTCCGCACCGGCACTGCCGGTACCGGCAATGTCTATCATTACAAGGAAACAAAACTATACAGAGCTAAAGAGACCCTTGAACGCATTACTTCATTGTTGGATTTTTGGCCTTCCAAGACGAATGAGGTTAGGGTTATGGTGGAGACTATTACTGAGGGAGAGTATGGTCAGGGTGATTGGTTACCTGTACTTATTGGTGCTTGTGCTTATGTTGTTATGCGAAACGATAATAAACCTTTGCCGCTTTCTGAGGTGGCCGATAAGGTCAGTTGTGATATTTTTGAGCTTGGTCGGATGGTTAATCGGGTTGTTGATTTTCTTGAATTGAAATTGCCGGAGTTTAATATAGTGAATTCATTTCAATGGGTGGTCAAGACTTGTTTTGATGAAAATTTAATGGATAAGGAAAAGATTGAGAGAATTTTAAAACAAGGGATTTTTTTAATGCAGTGTTTGGTGAAGTGGTATTTGACGACGGGGCGGAGACCGATTCCGGTTGTTGTGGCTGTATTGGTATTTGTTGCACAATTGAACGAGGTTGATGTTCAACTTGAGGACATAGCAAAGGAATTTCATGTGGCTGTTCGTACATGCAAGTTGCGGTATAAGGAGCTTTTAAATAGGCTTGTGAAAGTTGCACAAGCATTGCCTTGGGGCAAGGATATTAATGTTAAGAACATCATAAAGAATGCAGGGTACGTGATTCAATATATGGAGTTGAAGTCAATGTCTAAGCACGGTGAGAAGAGGAAGAGTTTAGAGCATGTTGGATTTGATTTGGATGGTTTGGTTCGTGATTGTCTGAGCAAAGAAGTTGAATTTGGGATGAATAGTCATGGCATGGAAAATGATTCTCAGTATTTTGAGGTAGAAGATCCGAGTGGTTCCCCAAGATGGAGTATAGATGATTTGGAGAAGCTGAAGATTTCATACGAATGCTTGTCACTATTATATTCAGAGTTATCAAATGAAGTTTCTGATGCCAATTCAGTGGGACGGAGTGGGAGTGACAATAGAAGGAAAAGAGGGATGGGGTTTGACGTTTTAGAGTGTAGGGAGTGGTGGAAAGGAAAATCAGAACTGAGCAAAAAGCTTTTCCTCAAGCAAATACTGGAGAAAGATGTAGGACTGAATGCTTTGCCTCCATCTTTCGTCTCAGGATGCTTGGCATATCAAAGGAGGAGAGAAAAGATAAAGGCTGCTAAGGTGCGTATCGATAAGATTATGTGTCCGCCAAATGCCAATTCAAGTGACAGGGATGATGACCTTTGCATTTTGAAATGCGTAATTGGTGGGAATAAACGAAGGAGAAAGAAAATTGCCATTGATGTTGATTGGGAAGATTTTATTATTGAGACCCTTCTCCTTCATCGGGTGGAGGAGGAGGAAATAGAGAAGGGGCACTACAATACCTTACTGGGCTTGCATGTCTTTAACTCTGGAAGTATGTAGTTAGCTTCATCATGGTTGGAATTGTGGCTTGAATCTACTCAACTACATAGGTCACCGCCCTATTAGAGAGAAGTTTTTGTATTTTGTACTCCTCCAGCAGGAGGGAATCTATTTTTGTTACTTATTTCTGCAAAATTAATACAGGGTATCAAATTTTTTGTTATAGAATTTTGGTTTCCACATATTTATGTGACATATGAGCTTGTTCCTTGAATTTATCCAGTTTCACAATGTGAAGAGCTTGAAAACTCCCTGCTTTTTCTTTGTCATCAAGGAGTGTGCGGCATGGATCCATTGAGATCGATTCAAATTGGACATGTATGGGGTTCGCTGCTGATATTCTTTTTGCTTGAAGTGTTATATATTCTGTATAGATCTCTCTTGTTTGTAGTACTCTGTTTTTAGTTATCTTTTCTTTCTCTCCTCGTATTCATTTATTTGCCCCTTTTTTATTTTTAATATCGAATGCTAAGTGATAATTTGGGAAATATTTTCAGCAGTAATTGATTCAAGTGATTACTTTGGCCCAAAGAAACATTGCTAGTGAAAAAGGGCTTGTTTGCTTGCGGGGGTGCTTGGAGATAATGGGGCTAAGTGGATTGGTGCGTCCTTTTTTCATTTAAAAAGTACAAAATAGAATGCCTCATTAGACCAGTGCTAATGCAGTGAAATAGGGAAAGGAAGGAAAAATTAAATACTTTACTCTGAATTTTTTTGGGTGAATATACTTTACTATGAATTGCACTTTTACAAAATCATACAATTTCAGATTATCTTCATGAATCTGTTTGAAGCTCAAATTTCAATCTAATATTGATGGCACCTCGTAGTTAATAATTGACACACAATAAAACTTTTGAGAACTGTAACTATCAGTCATTAAGCAACTAAGGCCATGTTGAAATCATAGAGGCAACAGTTATTGGCCCTTTTGTTGATATTTGTCATTGTAGGGTCGAGCAGCTTGCTACACATGTGAAAGCTATTCTTCCTGACTGAATAACAGGGAGATCATATCTGGCCCAGTAAAAACATTTCAATCTTTGAAGCTGCTGACTTTCATTGTGCTTGTGGTTGGATGAGAGAGAGAGAGAGAGAGAAACAAATTGCCATTTGTCAAGAGTTGCATAAGGTTTTTTTGATGTATTAAGATGAAGCTACTTCTTATTTTATTTTTCTAGAAAAAAAAAAAAAACTGTAAAGAGGCTTTCAATGATGTTCGGAGGAGTTCAAAAATAAGATTATTGTAATTTCAAAATTGCAACACAAAAATGATTGGATTTATTTCTTTTTGGTTAGTTATTTCTTACTTCCACTTTTTCTTGTCAATTTTTTTTTTTGGTTGTGTCGAAAATATATATAAGCTCCACAATCTGTGCGACTGCCTATTATGTGGACTTCATCTTTTTCTTTACTATTAGATAGTTTTATTAACACCGAGGTTTTAATCAATGATGGCTTAATAAGTGGGATGATATGTTTACAAATTAATGTTAATGTCTACCTCTGAAAATGTTTGCCCAAGCATTCAGCAGTATTGGGTGTTGTGATTCGAACTAAAAAGACAGAATGTTTACACAGGCTGTTGCAGCCAGATTAAGAGGCGATTTCATAATGTTTGGGTGCTTTTATTAAATTCAATTGCTGCTATATGTACACAGGCTTCTTCATTGTAGCTTGTTTTGTTTAGTGCTTTGTGTCATCAGATGAGACTCTGCAACCACTGAAAAAAGGAGACAAGAGGTGCACCTGGCGGCAACAAATGCCTCCAACAAAATCAATCTGCACAAAATTTGGTTGGAGTAAACGGAAGAAATATAATTGGAACAAGGTATGGACAATATAGACCCCATATAACTTTCAATTTATTCTATTGTCTTACTTGAACAGATGGAAACACTCCTTTGTGAATTATTGCATATCACTCCCTTGCTGATGTCATGGACCCTCATCCATCAGAGAACTTTTCCAAATGCCAAAATTCTATCTTGATTTGATGATCTGGACAAATAGGCTTACCTTCAATTGATTGAAAAGTTCTCGAGGAATTTTGCACCTCAATGCTGATTGCAGAGCTTTGCCTTGTAGAAGATTACATCATAATAGACAAACAATCGGCATGATAAAAATCCATAGCTTCAAGACTCGAGTTATTTTTGGAAATGTTCAATTTTTCATGCTTCCTTGAGGCAACCCCTAGGGGGGCTTAGAACTGTTAATTATTCGATATTCCATTAATGTTTCAAGTTGATTTTTGGGCAAACAGAAACATTTTGGCCATTTCAGTGGAAACAAAATTAGATTTTTGTTCCTTGCTCCTAAAAATGGTCCTTATATTGAAGTTTTATTCTGCAATCATGAGGTATCTGTCCAAACTTTGATAGACTATTTAAGTAAATCATTTTGTAGAATCTTGTTTATGGGTACTCTTAATCTGGACATTTATCTAATCCATAAAGTTATGTTGATTCTTTTCCTATGAATCCAACCATGTTTGTGTTAAAACTTGTTCAAAATTAACGTTCTTGTGTGACTCTTTCAAGCTTGACCCAATTTTTGCTTCACATGTGGGCCATATTTTAGATTCCAAGCATTATTTTGGAGTAATGGTCTAAATAGTTAGAAAAAAAAACTAGATAGAAATTTTTTAAATCAATCCTGATTTTCATACATAGTCAAATTTTACCCTTAAATTGATTTGAGTATTTATAAGAATGTAGAGCATTTTTACCATGAAGAGGTTCATCACATAGGTTATGTTACAAGGGTTTAAGAGTGTTGCTGAAGTGTCTGTAAAGTGTTCGATATTGATTTAAAATTTTAATTAAGACATGTTGAAGAAATGTTGGACACGCTTTTAGGAGAGTCCATAGAATGTCGATGTCCAACAAGACACGGCTCCTTCATAGAAGTGGCTGTGCTTCTTAGTCTACATGTCTATATGTCACATTGTATTGGCTACTAGAGCTGCTATGTCACATTAATATCAGTTGCTCACTTGGAGAGGAAGCATTTAGACATGCTGAATGATAATTTTTTTTTTAATATTTTTTATTATCTAATCTACCTTCAAATTGATTCGCGTACCTTTGCCAATCTTAGTCTACCTTTTTTCTAGGTTAGGAAATTGTGCAACCATGCCTTGCTGTGGTCGTGTTTTCTGTTGTTTATTCTCCCTGCATCAGGTTGAATAGCTACTCTGTTCTGAGGTTTACTATATCTCATATCATTTATCCTCCTGATGCAGCTAATGTTTCTCAAATCAAAATTGTTTGTGTGTTTTGACACTGCAGAAAGTGGGCGCCAATATTGAAAACCAACTGCTGAGAATGGGTGCTGATATAAAACAAATCTGTTGGAATTTGTGCACGATGTGATGCCTTCATTTTCAACAGATTTCATGGAAGGGGTAGCTCCTGAATTATCTCCTCAACAAAATAAAATTGTTAATCTCACAACTCATGAAAGCTCAATGATTGGTGTTGACATTGACCCTAAGAAGGGACTTTGCAACAAAAACTCTTTGGCCCATCAATATTGTATGGAACCCATGAAAGAGAAACATAATGATTAATTGTCGAAGAAAAAGGATGATATTGGTATGAGTGAAAAGTGAAATGTGAGTGTTGTGAAAAATGACACAGTGAAGAAACCGTTCCCAACCGAGATTCCAGTAGTAGTTGATACTGCAGAGAAAGATTCAAGCTTGGCATCATCATTTTGCGGAGTCAACAAACCTGATGATGAAAGATGGGATGGTCAAGAGGATTTGTTAACACCAGTATCACTAGATGGATATCACTCTTGTATGAAGGAAGATGAAACTACTAACCATGTAAATGCCACAGCTGACAAGTCAAATGTCCAGCCATCAGCTAATTCAGTTATTTTAGGATCCTGCAATTGTAGAGTTTCTGATACTGTACTTACTTCAGGTGATGCTTTCTCAGCAATATCAAATGGTAAGGTTCTATTATCCTATTTGTTCTATGTGCTTCTTTCTTTACTTTTATTTACTACTGTTAATTTCTACTCTGGCTGGTGCGGCTACCTTTGTGACTATATCTGTGACAGATTCTGTTGGCTTGGGATTGAGCTATCCAATAAAGTTTCTGAAACAGAAGATTATGTGTTTCCATAGCAGATTCTGGTAACTTGTTATTTCTGTTTTTCTCATGTATTTTAATTAATTAATTTATTTTTTAAAAATATTGGAGCCCAAGATAATTGTGCTTTTGGGGGGGGGGGGGGGGGGGGGGCTATGAATAGGCCAATTTCAAGAATTATCTCAAGATTACCCAATTAATTTTGATGATTCAAATTAAATTGTGATCACATTGGAAAATCCAAATGACTTTGAGATGGAAGACACAACAATTAACGAGGAGACCCTCCAGGAAAACTCTCCAAGAGGGGAAAAGCCATGGTCCCAATACTCGGCAAAATCTACTACAGGACACACAGGAAGGATTACAACCAAACCTTGGTTAACCCTATCTTTGAAGTCTTGAAATGCTCCACGAGCACAACCTTACCCAGTCAGCCTTGTTTGACTTGATTGAACAGCACAAAGCTTCCCTCCTCGACCTTCATACACTGACAACTTTGTTAACCCAATGGCCAGGAGTGAGAGGACAATACAATGCAGGATTTTTAAAGGTTTGTGTTTTTGATCACTCACTCATTGTAGTGATGAGTTTGCAGAGGTTGACAGAAGTTTGAAACTAATTTGAGGTGAGGGGACTATGAAGCCTCATTACAAGCGACCATTTTCAGAGTAGCATTACATGGGGCCCAATTATGGTTACAAAATTAGTGGTTTTAGGTATTATACCTAAAAAAATTAGTTAGCTTAGACCTGGTAATTATTCGATATTCCACTAATGTTAATGTCGTTTATTCAGGAAACGGAAACATTTTGACCATTTCAACGGAAACAAAATGAGAGTTTGCTCCTTGCTCCTAAATTGGTTCTTATGTTGAAGTTTTTTCCTGCAATCAGGAGGTATTTGTCCAAACTTTGATAGACTGTTTTACGTAAATCATTTTGTTCTTTTGCTGCTCATTTTCAATTGTTTGTTTAACTAACCTAAACCCACTTGGGTGCTTGCATGCTGATTTTATTCTTCGGGTAATATATATATTGTAAACTTCTTTTAGGTTCTATGAAGCTTCTTTTTTTCTTATGTCAAAAGATTTCATTATGGAAACTTGACCTTTTTTTTATTATTGAATGGTTAATTGTTGAGCATTTGATTGGATTGAGATATATTTTTCACTTGATCAATTTAACTTGGTTGTGGATTTAGTGCCCTTTTTTTATCCCCCCTCAAAAGTAACTTCTCTTGCATTGCAAAAATAGTTCCTTCCAATCAAATTAAGTTGTAGATAATTGATAGTACCAACAAAAAAAGAAAAGAGAAACTAGTACTCAAAATCAATGAGGGAATATATTGCTAAATAAAAAAAATACATAGCAAGCTACTTAATTAAGAAACATGTATAAGACATGTAGAGACCAAAAGCATGCCAATATGAATATATGAGATTAAATGAAAAGAACCTAAACCTGCATTAGCTAGGCAGCGAGGTGAGAATTATGCCAGCTAGATTCGTTAAAAGCATAAACTTATCTAAAACTAATAGATACGCAAAGTTTATAACCAAGACTAACTTTACACCAACATATGCTTCACTAATGTATCAAATAATGCTACCTTGAATTTTAATGAAACCATAAATTCAGATAAAATAAATGAAACTGAAAAGAATGAGAGCTCAAAGAAAATATTTTAGGTTTTTCTTTACATTCAAAGTTTTCAAAGACTTTTCTAAGGCTCACCTCGATGCTCACTTTGCTTCAAGGCTAAGGTAAAACGTATGAAGGCTTTGATTTTTAGGCTACTCTCCCTAAAAGCTTGCCCATCTCAATTTGAGGCATGCCCCTTAGGTGCGCCTTGTATGCCTTTTGCACATAAGCCTATGACGAGTATGCATATAAAGAGGTTGCCTTAGACTCTTGTTGAACTTAGTCTGGTAGATAGCCTAAAAAAAAAAAAAAAAAAAAAACCTTGTGTGTCTATATTCTATAGAAAAAAATTAAGTACATGAACAATTAACAAAAAATACATCGTTAATGCTCAAGTGAGAAGTTCAATCACCAAAGCTAAGAATGTCAATTTCCCTTGCAATGAAGGCAAGCTTCATTCTTTGAAATGAAATGTTTGATGCCTTAAGTACAAATTATTTATACCTTTATAGTTAATTTTTTTTTGTCTTTTTCACTATTTTAAAATATTTAATTTATTTACTAAATATTAAAATTTAAAATTCAAAATGCTTACGCCTAAACACCTCGAATTACGCATTTGCCTTTAAAAACTTTGTTTACATTCATGTTAATGAAACCTTTGCTTTTATAATGCATCATTTGTTTAGTTTGTTACTAATATCTTTGTTTTTGTATTCACTATTGTATGTATTGTACAACATTGGTTCTATCGAATTGGCATACTGAAAAGGCGCTTGCTTCTGAAAAAAACAAACTCCAAGTTTTGAAGTCAGGACCTCAAGCAAGATGTTTGAGTACTTTCCACTAAACCACAATGCTTCTTGTTGATAAATGTACCATATATGTTATTTATTGTATTCATTATTGTAAGAAATAATGTATATTATTGATTGATTGATATCTTACAAGATTGTTTTATTACAATTCCTATACAATCTATATATAGAAGAAAATGTGGTAGTAGGTGTAGTGGAGGTGATAGTGGGTTAGGTGAAGTGGAGTGTGTGGTGAAGTGGAGGTAGGTGTTATTTATTGTATTCATTATTTATATCTTTATTACATTTTTTTCAAACATCATGTATAATTAATATATTTTACAAATAATAAATATAAAAATATTTATATAATTATTAAATAATTTTAATATATTTATAAAATAATTATGACGTCACGGTTCGACCTGATGGTTGAACCAGTGATCCGTCCACTTGATTCCTTTTTCGGCTCGCTTACTAGTCCGGTTTTTAAAACATTGTTGCCTATTACATCATCGAGTACTAGTTCAACACATGACACACTGTAGCTTGTATGAATTAATTTATTCAACTGCTTTAATTTTTCCTTTATTTAGTTGCATTATTTTTTTCTTTATTCAGTTGCATTATTTTTAACAATAAATTTACACAAGTTACAGATATTGAGTTGCTTGAGCCTTGGCTCCTGTGGCTGCAGTGGTGCTGCAGCAGTGGTTGTGACTGCAACTGTGATTGTTATGTATTCATGACACTTGGATACACACTTGGACACATAGACTTGGTACTCTTATCATTTTTTATCATTGTCTCTAGTATCTTCTAACTTGATATTGATATTTGGATGAGTAGGTTGTAGTTCGAGAGGCCCAACATTCATACATGGTAGTGACTGGAACCCAAGTGGTGGCATTTTACATATTGCGCCTAATGAGTTAAGTCAAGTGGTTGAAGGGTATACACCCTTGGCTTCTTGTCTGGGTGTTTTAGCCCGAGATGGGAACCTTACGCCCCTTACCTATAGAACTTGGAGCTATGTATTGAAGGAAAATAAAGAGAGAATTTGGAGAGAAGTAAAGGTAAAAGAATTATTTCATTTCTTATCATTTTTTTTTTTTTGGATATGTAGGGTATCCTAGACCAACTTGCGTGCACCAAACTAAGTCCCTACAATCCGAACAAACCTTCCGAAATAGGTTTATTTACTGTGGTCCGTGGCCTCAAGAGTTTTTGCTGGCAACGAGAGTCGAACTTGAGACCTTGGAGGAAGCAAACCCCGAAGTCCCAGGCCTCATTGACCAGGCTAAACCCTTGGGGTTCATTTCTTATCATTCGCTGCTCAGTGTTCCTTTTGCTCAACAATCAATAGAACTGATTGTATCAATGTAAATTTAGTTAAAAGCAAGAGTTTCCTTGTGTGTTAAATAAGGCCTTGATCAAGGATGACTCAATTTCTGATTTTATTCACCATCTTGAAGGAGTTAAAAGACATCTAGACTTAGTTGTGGTCTAAACTGGATACAACCTGTCTGTATTTACTTGAGCATCATATTGAATTCATTAAGCATGTTGTTTGCAGTTGTTTAAACCAGTTTGAGCTGGGAATGTCGTGTTGGTTAATAGTTACATTGATAAGAGTTCGGGAGTTTGAATTGGGCACTTAATAGTTAAAGTTGCCAATTATTTGCAGGTTAATACAAATGCTCGTGAGTCGATGAAGAAAATTATTTTGGCATCTGTTGGAAAAAAATGGATAGAGTGGAAGTGTAGAGTTAAAAAAATAGGGTATAAGCCATTCAACAATGATACTGATAGGTTAACTTATCGACCGGAAGGTGTACACGACATCAGTGGTGGAACTTGGTCTATTATTGGGGCACTCGGAAGGCACAGGTATCATTTAATGTTTTGTTTGTTGAGTAGTGCTTGCTCAGTTTTTCTTTTTTCGCCACTCCCTTGCTGTCCTTTTTTGGGCTTCTTTTTTTTTTTAATAAAATTACAATTTCTTTTTAACCTATGTTACAAGGGCAACCCTACAGTTGCTTTATGAAGCTTTTATAATTCTGCTTTAAATGACAGCTTTTGATCTGTTCTAGTGGAGGATCCTGCAACCAGTTTGCTCTGTTTCTTGCTCAGTTACTGCTGGAGTGCTTTGGATGCTGCTGTTGCTAGTTTAATTAGTGGCTGCTTCTAGTTTTGGATTTATTGGACGTAATGCAATGGAATATTGGTTTTAAGTGGATAATTAATAGACAATCACTTTGACTCTTTGCGTTGCTGATTAATCCATACTTTGCAGCATAAACATCCACATATGTTAGTGCAGCTTGTGGTCGCTCTGTTCTTAGTTGGATCACTCTGTTCTTGAGCTGTTTATTGAACTTTATTGCAATCTCATTCTAACTTTTGGCACAACCGTTCTCATCTAGATGCTCTGGCACTGGATTATGAACATCACAGTGGTTACTGGTAAACATCCAATTTTTCACAACACCCAGAATGATCTTGCCCCTTCTTTGTATAATTGCTGTCACAACACACCCAAAAATAAAAAAATAAAAAAGGACTTTTCATGTTTGATTTTTGATTTTTGAAAAAAAACTTTTCATGACTCTATGTATGTGTGAGGCTCACTCATATATGTGTAAGGTCCACATAATGAGTAGTCTAGATTTATGAAGATCTTGTGAAATCTTGTGAAAGTTGGAGTCTCAATCATTGTTATTATTTTTATAAATTTTTTTTTTTTGTTCCCTTCTCACCAAAAAGAAAAGGACAGGTTAAAGTGGAGCCCTTTTGGAGACTTGCATATATCTACAATTTTGAACCAATCAAACTACTTTGTTTTGGGGCGAGCCATTTAAAGAAAATGCAACATCACTTCTTTTCTTTTTTCATTTTTCTTAAATGTAAAATTATGATTCACCTCTTAAATTTTCATTATAACAAAATAATCTAAAACCACTCCGTTCCGTTCAAACCAAACAATATAAAGAGAATCACCAAATCACATATGAGGAATATTTTATGTACCGGATTGCAATGGTGTAACTTTTGCTCATCGTTTGTCATGTAATAGAAAGTGAGATTCAAAAACTCTTTATGTGGTCAATTGATTTGTTGAATATTCAGTCACATCAAACTCCAATAACATTTTTTATTATGCGAAAAGCAATAAATAAAAAGATACATCACGTCAATTCAATCATGTAATAATACTCATTACATAAAATACTTTCCTACGATGAATTAAAAAAAAACAAACATAAAATACTATATCATTCTCCTAAGGGATTCATTTTCCTCTTCTTCGCTTACCTACTTTTTTGTATGTTGCACGGAATTTTATTTATTTATTATTATTATCATTATTATTATTATTATTAATTTTTGTTTTGAGTTGTGGGATTGAAAAATATCAAAACCATATATTTAATCATTAATTTAGAAAACTTAATATAATCAAAGCCATACAAACCCCATCTCTCTCTGTCTCTCTCTCTGAATTTATCAAATAATCTTTATTTTTTAACTTTTATTTTACACTTTGTCACAAAATAGGGAGAAAAATACATATAAATAAGAATGATTTAAAGTATTTGTATTTTTATAAATTAAGCCCGACTCTAGCATGATAAATTAAACTCAGGTTAGGCTTGATTGTCTATAAATTTGAGTTATTTATTTATTTATTTATATTTTTTTTGGTAATTAGGCTAATTAATTTATATGATAAAAGAGAGACAAGGATGAGAGATATGAATGTCCAAAAGTCATTTATGAGTGAAAAAAAAAAATTGTATTATATGACTTTTATGATAAATACAATTTAATTATTCTGATGATTTTAATATCATTCAACAACAAAAAATTTATATATATTTATATATAATAAAAATTTCAAATTGTAGTGTCTCTGTACAAACTCAACTTAAATTTAATTTATGTTTTTAATTTTTATCTAAGTCTACACTAAATTTAAAAATATATTATTTGATTCCTAAAAATTGTCAGCTCAACCAAATTGGACCCCAAATTACATGACAAGAACCATTTTGTTTGTTGGCCATTAGAATGGCAAAATACAAATCAACAACTAAATGTGGCCCTATTAGAGCATCTCCAGCAAGGATAGTTAAAATAGCTATTCAAAATTTTACTTTACTATTTCAGCTAGTCATTTTTTTAATATACATTCCAACAAAGCTATCTACTTTAGCTATCTTCTATTAAAATATTCTTATACTTTAACTACCTACTTTTCAATCTAAAAAAAAAAAAAAAAACTAACTTCTTTCAAATTATTATTTTTTTCATTCTTCTAAATATAATTATATTTTTGTGAAAGTTACATTTTTCTACTGTCGTATTTTTCAAATGGTCATATTTTTTCAACAGTCATATTTTTGTAAAGGTCATATTTTTACAACGATCATATTTTTTCAAATTTTTACAGCGGTCATATTTTTTAAAATTTTTACAACGGTCATATTTTTTCAAATTTTTACAACGGTCATATTTTTACAATGGTCATATTTTTTCAAATTTTTACAACGATCATATTTTTATACTTTTCCATTATAAATAAGACATTCCCTATCATTTGATCTTACCCTCAACTCAATTTTCTACTTCATCCAAACTTCCATATCTCTCTCTATGGCTTCCAATTCTCTTTATGATATGCTTGTAAATGACTCTGACTTCTCTGAATCTGATGATGATTTGGAGATGCTCAAAGCTGTTACTATGGATGAAGAACTAGTAGATAGTGAGATAGAATCAAGCTCACGTCGTGGTTCTGTTCGAGGTCGTAAAGCCATTTATCACGATCATATTCAAGGTCATGAAAGGCTTTTTCTCGACTATTTTGCCGAATCGCCTGTATATCCTCCTAAGCTATTTCGAAGGAGGTTTCGGATGAAGCGTTCACTTTTTCTTTGAATTCAAGCTGCAGTAGAAGCGCACGATCCATACTTTCTCCAAAAAAGGAATTGTGCTGGAAAGCTTGGTTTGCCTTCTCTTCAGAAGATAACTGTTGCACTTAGGATGCTTGCTTATGGAGTAGCCGCTGATTTTATAGACAAATATGTGAGAATTGTAGAAAGCACTGCAATAGAAAGCTTAAAATATTTTGTTAAAGCAGTTGTTGATATTTTTTCTAATGAGTATTTGAGGTCACCAAATAGCAATGACATCGCTAAACTACTAGCGGTTGGTGAAAGTCGTGGATTTCCTGGAATGTTGGGGAGCATTGATTGTATGCATTAGAAATGGAAAAATTGTCCGACGGCGTTGAAAGGTATGTATACTGGTCACATTCATGAACCAACAATTATTTTGGAAGCTGTTGCATCATATGATCTTTGGATTTTGCATGTGCTTTTTGGATTACCTGGGTCTCATAATGATATCAACGTGCTAGAAAGGTCTTTTGTATTTACCGAACTTGCTCAAGGGCGTGCTCCTGCAGTCAATTACACCATCAATGGTAATGAATATACAATGGGATACTATCTCGCCGGTGGTATATATCCACAATGGTCAACATTTGTGAAAACAATTCCTTCTCCTCAAGGAAATAAGAAAAAACTTTTTGCTGCAGCTCAAGAGGCGACAAGAAAAGATGTAGAACGTGCATTTGGAGTGCTTCAAGCACGATTTGCAATTGTGCGTCGACCGGCACGTTTTTGGAATACTAAAATGCTTAAATATATTATGAAGGCGTGCATAATTCTACATAATATGATCATTGAGGATGAGCGGGATGACAATGGAGTAAAAGACTTCAATTATGATCAAATCAATGATAGTCCCCATGTAACAGTGTTACAGGAGAGAACTACTAAACTTATGGAATTCATTCAATGCCATCATAACATTAGAGACAGGCAAACACATTCTCATCTCCAATCGGACCTTGTCGAACACTTGTAGCAATTACACAGCGAGACGTAAAAGCTTTGAATTTGAAGTTTCATTTTATGTAGTATGCTATTAGTTTTGAATGTAATCAGTATATGCTTTTAATTTATGTGTAATTTTTTAATTCCATATGCCTTTTTATTATATGGTTATCATGGTAGCCTATTAAGGGAGAGTTGTGCTTAAATAAATAAATAAATAACCTAAGCTCTTAAAAATTTTATCTAAAAAAAAATATATATATTGAATGATTGAGATTCATTATTATATAGCATTAAATCTAAATCACATATCAATATTTATAGTAAAATTATGATTTCTTAGAATTTTAAAATATTAAGATATTAAATATTAACATTAAAACCTCATTATAGTAAAACTTGGTACTCAAAAAAATTTCCTTTGAACAGCTTGCTCCACACAAGGGTATCTATTAAAACAGAGACACTATTATGGATAGTTTTTTCAACATGAAAGTTATAAGGGAAATTTACATGACAATGTATATTTTAAAAAATATTAACAAATTAATGATAAACTTTACAAGTATTAACTATGTAGTGATAAACTTTATCATTAATAAACAATAATTTTTAAAAAACCCACTGACAAGTAGTTTCCTCAAGTTATAATTTCGATTCTATCTTGGCGATCAATATAGGAAATTTCAAGAAGAATTGATACCAGCATCAAGGATATGAACATCAGAGAGATAATAATCATATGAGTCTTCACCACCAGTTATAATGATTTTGTTCTTCCAAGATGAGCAAGTATGGCTATCACGCTTTGCTGGTGGACAGCCTAATGTTGCAGCACGTTTCCAAACAAAAGTCTCTACAAAAGATGAAGAAACTAGTAATTTTTTCTTTTCCACTTTGTTCTCTGAATCAAATTATTACTAAACTGGGATCAATCATCTACAATTCGTGCAAATCTACAGCCCTTGTGAAATTATGAACAATAAAACCCATGCTTTAGCTACCACTGAGCTTTATATAAATAAAACTCATTTGAAAAGAGAAATCCCACACTGATGCCTTATATAAATGTAGCATTATAAGCTTGTAATTACTAATTAAACAATAAAAAATAAAAATAAAAACTTGCCCCATACAGTGACAAAATAATTCAGCTTCGGTGATTTTCGATGTGTGGCTCTTTGACTAATCCATAAACTTACCAGTATTCAAAATGTAGAGATCATTATAAAACTCTTCATTAGAATTATTAATCAATTAGTACTAGCTGTTGCCCCGTCTCAACCACAACCTATTTTTGGATTCAAAATCTAAGAACAAGTAAATATTAGTACTTATATTAAACAGCAGCAAAACAGCCCAAAAATGCCATCAAAACAGCCCCAAAACACCAGCGAAATAGCAACAAAAACAGATTAGAAAATAGGCCAAAAATGGCAGCAACACAGCACAAAAAGCAGTAGAACAACACAGTACAAAAAGCATTAGATTAGACAACTAACATTGTGTACCAAAACATTGCCGAGTTCAACATCTATCCTAGACAAAAGTAGAACCAAAAGCAAAAGCCAAAATATCATATACCAAGTTTCTAGCCTACTAGACAAAAGCCAAAATATCATAAAGAGCAAAGAAAAAATGAATACTAATTCGTTCTTCTTTTCTTAATGATTTCCATCTGCCGAGCATGATAAAATTCTTGTTGGATTTCCAGCAAGCCACTGAGATCCATCAAAATAACTCTTTCGTCCTCTTTGAAAAGTTCCATTTCATGCTTTTGAAGTTCCACCTCATGCTTTTCTTGCATGATACGATGTTCCACTTCTTTTTGAACGTACACTTTGTCAATCATTTCAATTTTCTTGTCAATCATTTTCTTTTTGTCTTGCTTGATGTCCTCCAAAGTTTTTGTAATACTCAAATGTACGCTTTCTTTGTTCTTTTGTTTATTCAATCGCTCCTTTTCAACCTTCCTACCGGTTGGTCTCTCCAAGTCTGCAAAATCATTAGGTGAGACATCATCTTCCCCTAGATTTATCGAATCCGGAGTACAAGGAGAAGAGGTTGTCCCTGTTCTTGGTCTTTTTGGTTGTTTTTTCTTCTCAGACGCTACCGCCCATTTTGGTTGATCCATTAACATAATCCAATAGTGTTCGAATTTGAATGTAGATTTCTTGAGTTCCTTGTACATAATTTTTGCCTTGCAAATCTGAAAGTTAAATAAATAAATAATATTTAGCAACTTCACAAATAATAATAATTGTAAATGTACAATATTCAATACCTTGTCATCCTCATTTATGCCACTTTGATGCAATGATTCTGTTAAAATCCACCTACTCTCCACCTACTTCACCCACTTAAACCTACTCCACTAAACCTAACCCACTAAATCCACATACTCTCCACCTACTTCACCCACTTAAACCCACAAAACTTATTCATGGCAAGCTGAATGGTTGACCATCGATTCATAAGAGAATTCTCATTTCGATTAGGCTCAAATTTCTTGTGCTCATGGAAAAAATCCCACTCTTTTCCAATAGGTAGAGCGTTTTTGCTCATTCCCATGTATCGCATCTAAACTAATATTAAGCCAAGCTGATACAAGGAGTTTGTCTTCTTCAATTGTGAAGTTTCCTCCACGTTGAGGTTTCTTCGACAAAGATTCAATTTCAGTAGTAAATTGAGACTCTTGGGCGAAGACTTGAGTGCTTTGATTCAAATATTGAGATTCCATTAGATAATGTTCATCAATGTTGGGCCTTTCTTGTAAAAGATTGGTAAAGTAACCATCTTGTTGTGAATCCATACCTATGATTGAACAATATATAAGAATTAAAATTTAACATCCAAGCTAAGAATCAAAATGAAGAAGTGTTTAGAAATGAAGAGGTATAAAAAATACATAAGCATGATTTCAAGCATTACCCAAAGCCATTACAAAATGGACATAAGCATTTCTAACTGGTGAATTATCACAAAACATGCTCAGAGTAAAAAAAAAAATTCAAAATGAAGAAGTATTTAGAAATGAAGAGGTATAAAAAATACGTAAGCATGATTTCAAGCATTACCCAAAGCCATTACAAAATGGACATAAGCATTTCTAACTGGTGAATTATCACAAAACATGCTCAGAGTTCTTATGAAGAATTATAACATGAAACAACAACTCAATTGAAGGAATTTAAATCACTTGTAAGAATAACAATGTGACTTCAGTAAATGTAGTTTGCTTTGTATTAAATTAAGAGTAAAAATTCAAAACTCTTATCATTTCAATACAAACATATATTTCAGTGTTTCTTACCTCATTATGGAAGCTAACAAAATTCAAGGTCCTTGGGTATGTAACTTGCCTCAATAATGTTTAAGTTTCTTGAGGTAGAAGATGATAAGGTTCTTTAGCACAATAATGTTTTCAAAACCAAGATTACTCACATAGAACTTGAATTGAAAAATAAAACTGAGAATGCTAAGAAAGAGAGAAAGATGAAAGAAAGCACTAACAAACTTGAGCATGCAATAAGCGTTGAGAAGATATTGGGGACAAAACTGAAATAGATGTGGAAGAAAAGAAAAATGTAATTCATGAACCTAAAATCAATGGGAATTCTCCGATTAAACAATCACATGGAAAGAAAATTGATTTTACCAATCCCACAAAACCCACCCCATATGGAAATTTATTTGTGTCTGTTTTCTTTATGTGTGGTGTGAAGCGATATGTGGTTCAAGAGTGCACATTATTGAACAGCATGTGTCAAGATGATGTCCTTGAGGAGACTTCATCGCATTAAGATAATATGTCAAAGTCTCACAACAAAAGATCATATCACACAAGCATTAGTTTACCGGTGGTTGAACAGCACAATTCAAATGATTTAATAGTGGTGTGGAATCCTCTGTTTTAGATAGCTTTGGAGGATAGGGAGATCCAGTACATTTGAAGGCTTTGGAGGATAGGGAGTGTTGTTATATTAAAATATCCTAGGCCTTGTTTTCATGAAACAATCAATCAAAATTGGATATTAATGAATATTCTTGTCAAATATGATAGAACAACTAATACCAGAAATAATTGGATACAATTTACAATCTTTATTCTAACAGAAATTACAACAAACATATGGTGTGCAATATAAATACATACTACTTTCTCTTTTACAGGTAGTAAAATAATGACCTATTGATTAAGAACATGGAGCCATAACTTGCTACAACAATTTCTGAGATGAGATCAAAAACCATGGAAGCCACAAAGCAAAGGAGAAAATATATATTCACATAATCTGAACAAATGACAAAGCAATATGTAATATTTTTGCCAAAATCAACAAATAATGAAATAAGAATGCAATAATCTAAACATTTGCTTTCATATTCTCCAATTTCTTATCCACTATTCATGGCATAAACAAACGTAAATGACAAAACTTTACCTCCCTTGAGCAAAAAGGTTGAGAAAAAGATAGAGAGGATGAGAGAGTTTGAGTTTTGGAATGCCTTCTCTATAGATTTGTTTGGGGAGGTACTGACAGAATTTTAGCACCAAAAAGAGAGAAAAATTTTACCGCCAAAAACCGAATTCAGGAGGTAAAAATAAATAAAAAATTGAAAGGTTCATGAACAGTACCTCGCTTGTCCTGGCGAGGTACTGTAGCTCACCACCATTCTAGCGATCCTTGAGCGAGTCTGCTGGAGCAATGTTTTACCCTTCCAAGCTCGCTTCTATGGCTAAAAGGAAAGAATAGTCAAGCTGTTGGAGATGCTCTTATAATCTCATGTCCCTCAAAAACCAAACAACAATGATAGAGACTACTAATTTTGGAGCTTTAAAAAGACCATTAATGACATGACACTCAATAAAAAAAGAAAAAAAATACAACACCAAGGTCAAAACATCAAATCATTCATGATGGGGCCCACTACCACGTCATTAGTGATAGCACTAATTAGTACTCTCACTCATTTTCCAAAACCAAATGGCTCACCTTTCATGCGCTGTCAATTCATTTATTGACAGCAGAATTGGCCTACATTAAAAGGTTGGGCTTTTTTTGAATTCAGGCCTTGTTTGGCATGATTTAAAAAACTCAAAAAATCAAAAAATCAAAAAATTACTATCCTATTTAAGTTACATTGTCTTATTTAGGTCATATCATTTCTTTAACACATCACTTCAAACCTAACTCATATTTTATAAAAAATAAAAAAGTACACTTATTTAGATCATCCCAAACCACCCTTCAGATTTAGATGTATAGAGTGTTATGAGGTTCTTTCGGGCGTGTTCCAAATTTATTTTCATCGAACTTTTTATATTACAAAATTTATTGAATATATTATTTATAAAAAATAAAAAAAAAATTAATTAAACATATGCAACCCTATGATCAATTCAAATTCTTTTTCAAAAAAAAAATCAAAATTATACCTATCATTTATTTATTTTTAAAATAGATGTTTTTTTATAGAGTTACAGATATTTAATTGATCTAATTTTTTTTTTTTATGTACAACGAATCTTATAATATAAACGGTTCAAATTATAAAAACAGGCTCGGAACACGCTCCGAAAGGGCCTCACAACACGCATGTTGTGCCATAAGGCACAACACTTACTCCAAATCCGTCGTTTGGGTTCTTGTTATCTACTGCAATCTCATTTTGATAATTTAAATTATTTATTTTATAAATTTTTATGTATATTATCTATAAAAAAAATAAAATCAATTTGATAATAATAATTTGTTCAATTTATAACGCTTATCATTAAAAAAAATAATTAATTAAACGAATTACATTTATCAAATTAAATAAATTTTTTATATAAATAATTTATTTTATAAATAGGGCAAATTACACTAACAGTCCCTATAGTTTTGGACTCGTGTCACTTTGGTCCCTGACTTTTCAATTGTAACACATTTGACCATGAATTTTGAATCTTGTTTCAAATAAGGACAATTGAAGATACCATTGTTTAATTTCAAGGGCAAAATCGTTAATTTAATAAAATATAAACTAATTTGACAAAATTAAATGTCAAACAAATATTTTTAATTTTTTAAAAATTATTTTTATCCACTAATGATAAAATTATGAAAAATTGATAAAAATTAAAAAAAATTAAATGAGTAATTTTTAAAAATTAATTTTACATAATCATCATCCAAACACATAATAAAAATTAATTTGATAAAAAAATAAATAAATGTCTAAAAAATTTATCAATTTTACATAATTTTATTTTTGGTGGGTAAAAATAATTTTTAAAAATTTAAAAATATTTGTTTGACATTTATTTTTGTCAAATTAATTTATATTTTATTAAATTAACGATTTTACCCTTAAAAAATTTAATGATATTTTCAATTGTCTTTATTTGGAACAAGATTCAAAATTCAGGATCAAATGTGTCACAATTGAAAAGTTAAGGATCAAAAGTAACACAATTCATAAACTATAAAGACTATTAATATAATTCGTCCAAATAAATAATTTAAATTATCAAAAAAAAAAAAAACCTAGTGCGCCTTTGATTTGACCTAAAAGGAAGCTCAGATCAGATCCGACCCAGCTTTGTATCCCCATCAAAGTGTCAAATCAGTATTGAACCTCCATAACACTCCATAACATACATCGCGACAAAAATGGCAATTCGTTGCCTTTGCCGATTTCTTTTTCAAGTAGTTTTGTTTTGTATTAAAATTATTACTTTTAGGTATTATCAAATTAGAACTATAAAAATAAAAAAATAAATTCAACTAAAAAAAATTAAAAATATATCTTCTAAAATTTATTTAAAATAAAATTACTCCCTATAATTCAACATCCCTTGAAATTTATAATCTTATAACAAATAATTCATTCTATTAATAAATTATCAAATCAATTAACAGTTTTTAATAATATTATAAATATATTTTAATTAATAATTTAAATAATTTTATAAATATATAAGAAAACAACTAGAAATTTTATTTTTTTAATTTTGTTAAATAAAAAATTTCTGACGAGTAGATATTTTTAATTTTTTAAATCACAAAAGACAATTCGTATTTCAAGTAAACCTTAAAAAAGTATATTTGTAATTTATCCAAAAATTACTATACAATCCCAGACAAACTTGGATACCAATTCCCTATCCAAAATAAAAAATAAAAAAAAATCAATAAATAAAGAGAATTTATTAAGAAATCTTTTTTCAAATACTTATATCCCATTAATCCATAATATATTCTCATATTTCAATAAGTCCTATTATTTAGACAATTGATTCACCAAATCTTAATTTTCATATTGAAAGTGTTTTATGAATAATTTTACCCTTACAATTATTTTTTGAATGCTCAGCAACTTGGTGATGTGCATTGACAGTGTAAACATTCACATCACAAAACATCCACACTATCAACGCGAATATTATTATTAGGATATTTTGATAACTATATCACACATGAACTTATTGACATATAAGATAATGAGTAGAACATAAGTAATAAAGAAAGATTTATGAATAAATGCTCATAAATAAATAACTCAAGTCAAAGTCACAAGAAATACCCACATGAAACAAACTTGCAATTAGCTTATACTCAATGATTTGGTAAAATCTGCCAAAACAAATACAGGAAGCCGCTTATTTTTTGACAGAACAGAGTACACTGATTATTACACTCTGCTCGCTTTTCTGAAGAAGGGTTACTTGTAGTCATCAAGCTCATTATATATCTGGAAGTAGCTCATAAAACAAGAGAAAATATTCAATAACTCGATCTAACCGGGTAATGTTGTTGCTTCATCTTCATCATCAAGTTCCTGCTCCACCCCTTTACCCTGCACGGGAAGTTCCGGTAAGATGAAGTAAATTGGAATATCAGGGAAACCGCTGTTTAATTCAAAATTTGATAGTCCAACCAACACAAATGAATTGAAATCACCAATGTGAACTTGCTAATGTAACATAAATAACATAAAGGTACAAGACTGAAAATATGGACCCACTGTAAAAGAAATGAAAACTTGAGTCTCAAACATGAGATCTAATCGAGTGAAATAGCAAATTAAACAAACAGAATTTTTATCAGAATTCCCAGCAATTAAAACAATGGAAAGATGGAAAACAGAGAAAATTATTAGAGCAAGGCTTCAACATATGGAAGGAAAAACAAAGAAAAGGGGACTCTAGAACTCACATCTTTTTAAAAAATACTATCTTAATTTAGTGTTTTCGAGGACTGATATTAATCACTTAGTTAGTTCACTTCTCGTACAGAATATATATATATATATATACACATATATTGGGTGTACTTTAACCATTTGAGTAAGGTAGCAAGAGAATAATGCAATAGTTTGGCTAAGAGTTTCCTTAAAGCCATAGGTATGTCTTCCCCAAAAGCTACTCTACTAGTAACTGGAAAAGAAACATATTCTTCAGTCACAAGAGAGTGACCACTAGCAAGGGCATAGCAAAGATTTTAGTCAAATAATAGCAACACCTTACCAAGAAACATGCACGGAATTTTTTACTATTAGCCTTTTGTCAGCATTTATGCATCATGTTTTAGTCACAAGCATAGCATTGACAAAATTGTTTGCACGTTTCATGCAAAATTGTCCGGCCAGGCTGACTATTACTAGTATATTCACACCAAAATCAAAATGGAATGTAATAATCAATCAAGAATTATATTGGTTATCCTATTACAGACTATCAATAATGGTGGTTTTTTTTTTTTTTTTGGTGTGATAAGTATCAATAATGGTGGTGTTGAAGGTTTTCTTTACAAAATAAAACCAAAGCTGTAAAAAGGTTAACATTTGAAGAAATTACAGAGTTGGCGTTCGAAAAGACCAAATTTGAAATTCCCCAAATCATAAATGCTGAATTTAAGATCAAAAATCATCTAGAACCAGTTATGCACAACAAGAAACAGTCATCTAGAAATCATACAAACAGATATTATTCAGGGAAAAAAATCAGAAGACATATACATTAATCTTACATTAATACAAGATAATACTTGAGAGAACAAAAAAAATACAACACATACAGATCCAACATTAATCTTTCCATTTCTTTCCACAAATGCAGATTGAACAATCAGTCACCCAAGTCATGGATGACATATGTTACCTGGAACATAGATCGTACAGTACATGGAACGGGAATGGGAGTATGGTATGCCACATACTCTGAAATATGGTACGATAGAGGTAGGCTTGTATATATCACTTAAAAATTTAAGGTATTTCTAGAGAAAATTTTCTTTCAAATATTAGCCGTCCAATAAAATGTAATTCTTTTTATGTAGCAAAACATTTCTCTAAGTATTATGACCTGTGTTTGATGCTTTTGTCTTGTCAAAACTTAACTCACCTTAGATTTTAATTCATTATAGTTGTGTTTTTTTTTTGTTTTTTCTCTCCTAAGATAACATTTAAGAAAACATTATTTCTTACAGGTACGATAGAGGTAGGCTTGTATATATCACTTAAAAATTTAAGGTATTTCTAGAGAAAATTTTCTTTCAAATATTAGACGTCCAATAAAATGTAATTCTTTTTATGTAGCAAAACATTTCTCTAAGTATTATGACCTGTGTTTGATGCTTTTGTCTTGTCAAAACTTAACTCACCTTAGATTTTAATTCATTATAGTTGTGTGTTTTTTTTTTTGTTTTTTCTCTCCTAAGATAACATTTAAGAAAATATATTGGAAAAAACTGATGAGATCACTTCAAATCACTAAATTTTCCATTTTGGAACAGAAATGTACCATATTTTGGAACATATGTATCAATACGTAATTCGCTTGGTTATTAGTGTTTTCTGGTATGACTACAAATTTGCTATGCTACTTCTCCATTTCTTTCCAATACCTAGTGAGACACAAGACTTAGTTTGGTTTAGTTAACTGATGAGAGAGGAGATGAGACTTTGATTTGGGGAGGAGGGAGGGTGGGAGGCAAAGGGGGAACGGTTTAGAAGCATCGAGATATGCAACATTTTTTGGGTGTATGCCAGTTACATCATGGTATATAAATTTAACATCCATTTAGATGCATAGGAAGGAGGGCAAGCTAAGTTCAGAGTATCCTACTCTAGTTAAATTTTTGTAAACATTCTACCTTAAGTCTTCTAAATTCGAATAAAACCCTGTTGACCAATGGCTTTGACCAATACCAGGGATTTCGTCGTGAAGACAGTGTGAGATTAACTCACCAAATCATAGAACACATGACGTAAATATATCATAATTTCAGGGAAAATCGTTCAGACAACCTGTCCTCATGATTATATCCAAGTTTATGATCTCTCTCCATCCTACTTTTAAGTGTCAAACTACAATCATAAACAGCAAGAATCCAAATAATGACTGTTACCTCAGGCACAAAATGCATCAGCATGTTCTCAATGCCAGATTTCAGAGTAACAGATGAGCTAGGGCAGCCACTGCATGCTCCTTGCATTCTAAGTTTGACTATTCCTGTATCTCTGAGGAAAGCAAAATGTGCATAAGAATTAAATTATGCTGTATCACAAATAAAGAAATTATTCAATTCAGTCTTCAGCATTTAAAAAGTATTTGATGGAAGAAACCTACGGATCAAATCCCCAGTACTCAATATCTCCACCATCATCTTGTACTGCAGGTCGGATACGAGTTTCCAACAGTTCTTTAATCATTGCAACAATCTCTGAATCATCCTGCAATAGGGACCATGAGAAATGATCACAAGTCTGGGACTAAAACACCATTGAATAGATGCATATAATCATAAATATTAGCAACAAAATATCCCCTAGAGTTCTAACTCCAAGTGTACGTCTGGTTTTCTTTCAACGCTAATCACTATGTTCCTTCAAATGTAATAGCATACCACATCAATGAGCTCTGCACACATGTTAATAGATCTGTAAAACGCAAAATCGAAAAATGGTACTCAATTGGCAGTCATATTTCTTTCATAATGCAAATAGACAAAAATATCTTCAGATACTACATTTACTCGTCAACATCGCCTATGTAGTTAGTATCTTACATATGCAACTAATAAGGTAATGACACATAGAGACACTTTCAATTGTCACAATAATACAACAGGCTACGCTTGAAACCGATTAGCCAAGTTTCAGTGAAAGGAGCAACCACAGTTCGTTTTGATTATATTCTTAGCAAGTTGGACATCAATGCAGAAACCCAAGAAACTTTCAATTATTAACATAACACAACAAACCTATTGGCTAAGTTTACCAGAAAGAAGACAACAAATTTTGTTTTCATTACATTCTTAGCAAGTTGGGCCTTCATACTAAAAAAGAGCACACTTCCAAATATTAGCATAATAAAACAGAGTGGATTTGCCCCGTAGGCTAATTTTTGGCAAAGGGAGTCAACAAATCTGTTATCAACATTATCTTGGCCAGTTGAACATGATAGATGCAAGCTCTTTCTTTTGGTGTATGCACACGTATTGAAGGTCCTCATGAGAGGACTTTCACAAGCCTTTTGTTTTATATAAAGTAAATAATGAAATAGTAATTCAAAAACAAAATTTTAAGGGTAAATTACACTGACTCCCCTGAAGTTTTCTTTTAATACATATTCTCCCTTGATGTTTCAGAAATTACACTGACCTCTCCTGTTAGTGTTTGTCTGTTAACGTGGTTAACAGAAATGATTGAATTACTCTTTTAAGCTTTTACTACTTTTCTCTCTCCTCTTCAGATCCCATGAACCACCCATAGTAGCTACGGACTATGGTGATGGGATTTGTATGTTGGCTGGTTTTAATTAGTGGAAAATAAGGCTTAACTTTTTGAATGTCATACTGCAATTCTACATATAAATGTGGGTTTGTTTAGATGATCCTAAAACTCTTTCTTTGATCGAGTTCAGCACTATTGGATATGAATGTTGAACTTCAGTTTGTTATTTGATACAGTTTGTTTGCTAATAAGATGAACATAAAGAATGATATATTTTGATGACTTGTTTGTTTCCTACCATCTCTCTGTTCCCGGTTTTCTCAGCAGCCAACCTAAGGATAATTTTTTACTTCTGCTTTTGGGAACAGGGTGCTTTAAAAGATTTTCCAAAAAATAAGAGGTGCTGGTGGTGTGGCAGTGGGGTAGTATTGGTGATAGTTACTATCATCAAAAGCCATTGTAAAGAGAGAAGGAACAAGTGGAAGGAAGGAAGGACAAGAAGAGATGATGGTGGAGTAAAGGCAGAGGTGGGTGTTAGTTGGTGGCTGGAAGTGGGTGATGGTCGTAGAGGTCGGGTGATTCTGGGTTTGTGGTTAAGAAAAAAAATTACAGATGGAGGAGGGAGAGGGATATGACTGGTAAGAGCTAAAATTAGAATTTTAATGAATTCAGTTGTTTGACTCAGCATTTTCCATTAGTTGACTTCAAGGTTGACTAATGGAGGAGAGAAATTGTAATACGACTCTAAACCTCAAGGCGGGGGATGTAATTTCCCTAATGTCAGGGGTATTAACATAATGGAGCCGAACCTCAAAGGGTGTCAGTGTAATTTACCCTTAATTAAAACTACAACAATTTGTGACAAGAGCCCATATGTTTGGCACAGTACACACTGCTCATTTCAGGCACAAAGGTGCACCAAGGCATGACACAAGTGCCTCAGACCTTGAATCATGAACTTGGAGCAATTGACTTGCAAAGTCACACCTCAAAGATGTTTTCTTGGGGATTCTTCAGAATCCTTCAAAGTACTCTCACACCAAGACTGGGAATCAGCAAGCATCAAAAATTCATAAGCATAAGACTAAAGTTCAAGGACATACTTCACTAATAGCTGTGTCCATGGAAGCTGCACTATTGGCGTCCAAAAAGAGAGGCTTCCCAGAGGAATAGAAGTCCATAATTGCAGCAAAAATTTCGGGCTTTAAAATATCCCAGGAAGCATCTTCTGATTTTGTTACAGTTATAAAATCTGATCCAAAGAAAACTCGAGTAATTCCTGTACTAGCAAAGAATAATTAGTCTAACTCATCAACCACCACCCAAATATTTGTAATTACATGAGAAGTTACAAAATGGTCAATTAACCAAGAACAAGCATACAAGACAAAAGTGCATGCTCTTGTGACCAAAGTTCAAGGAATAACAAAGACATGTTTCTGGAATAACTAATTCACTTTCAGGCTTATCCTAAAACCTAAATTAGAGAGCAAACAATAAAGAGTTATTAAAGGCATAATCCTACCTATGGTCTCCAGCTAAATCTTAAGAGTTAAGAGTAATAGTGACTATCCTTCCTCTACTGTTTGATGATATGTTCTGGTGCCTAATAATAATAAATAATCTGCCTCTCATTCGAGGATAATTTACCTTTAAAACATAAGGAAGAAAAGCAAAAGGAAGAGAAGAACAGAAGAAGATGACAAGTTCTTCAATAAGTAGGTCAGCCACACCAAACTTGTTTTGCCTTTCCATCATATGCAGGGAAAGCGCACACAATAAAGCCTCGTTCCAATTATTTGAAACTCACTCTTGCACTCTCTCTAAGCCAGATATGCTCAAATGCAACCTCACGTAGTTCTTCAGAGTCTATTGGTGGAACTTTTATAGGTTGTTACACCACATAAGTAACATTTATTTTTATTTTTTTGATTTTTATTTTTTTGATAAATAAACAAACTCTGTAAAGAAAGCATCAAGATAATGCAAGGAATACAAAACACCTCCAATTTGGGAAAAACACCATCCCTTGACCAATTACATCATCCAAGAAATCTAACAAAGCAAACATATCCAGATCTAACAAAGCAAACATATCCAACCAACTATACAAAACAACTAATAAACCACTCTCTAACCAAGATACACAGTGTCGAACCTCTTGAAAAGTTCACCTATTCCTCTACAACCAAACTAACCACATCAAGCAAAGCTGAGCCAATGACCAAACACGCCGTCAACAACGCCCAACCCGAGCCCCCCAACAACTCCAAAGCAAATGAATCCCAAAAAGGGAGCAAATGAGCCCCTACAACCGAGACGCCACAAAACAATGTAAAAAAAGATGATCTATCGATTCCACAGTAGCACAATGCATACAACTCCGATTAACTAAAATATGAGCACGTCATACCAAATTATCAATTGTGAGATTCCAACTTGAGGCCGTTGTCCACGTAAAGAAAGCCACCTTAGATGGAACTCCCAGCATCCAAATACTCTTCCAAGGAAAATCTTTCCTCACCTCTCCCACCAAACTCTAATAGAATGACAAAACAGAGAACCGCCCCTTTATGCCCACACCATTCCACACCAAAACATCCCCTCCCCCAACTCTAGTAACCCCCAACCCATACAGAAAACCCCACAACTCACCAACTGATCAACCTCTTAATCTTAAACCTACTGCCGCAACTGAATATCCCAAACCACTACATCCCCACTCCCCCAGATAAAATGCCACCGAAGCCTCCCGATCAGCCACAATGCTGAAAATCAAAGGAAAGCGATCCTCCGACAAAGCCTCACCACACCACCAATCCTACTAGAAACGCACTCTCCTCCTATCACCCACCTGGAATCCCATCCTATCCCAAAACTCCATCTTCCCCAACCAAATCCCTTTCCACAAACTACACCCATAAGTGCCAATCACATCCCCTAACCCCCACTCCCCCCACCCACTCCATATTTAGCAACCACCACCCTCCGCCAAAGACGGTCATGCTCTAACACAAACCGCCACACCACTTTCCTAACAATGCTCTATTAAAAGTTATCAGACTCCGAATCCCCAACCCCCCTACCTTTTTAGGACAACAAATCTGCCCCCAGTCAACCAAATGATACCTGAAATCTTCCCCTCCACTACCCCACAGAAAATCTCTTTGAAGTTTCTTCAACAGCCGTGCCACCAACATCGGAATAAGATGCACAAACATAAAGTAAGTAGGAATGCTACCCAGCACATTCTTAATCAAAGTCAACCTCCCCCTTTTCAAAAGATATTGCCTCTTCCATCTTGCCAACCGAAGTTGAACCCGCTCCATAACCCCTTTTCACACCCTTTCACCTTAAACGGTGCCCCCAGCGGCAAACCCAAATAAGACATTGGAAAAGCCGACACCTTGCAGCCCAAAACCGCCTCTAGCATTGGTAGACTATCAACCTCCACCACCAGAGTCAGCTCCAGCTTCCTCAAGTTAACTCAAAGACCTGAGACCGCCTCAAAACATAGCAAAACACATCTCAAATACCCCACCTGCTCTACTACAACCCCATAAAAAATCAAAGCATCATCTACACACAATAGATGAGAAACACAAATGGGCACCCTAGACAAAGAACCCACCGAAAACCCCTTAAACAAGCCTTCACAGACTGCCCTATCCAGCAATCTACTCAAAGCCTTCATCACTAAAAATAAATAATAACAGTGACAAAGGATCCCCCCACCGCAGACCTTGATGCATCGGAAAAAAATCCCGCCGGAGTACCATTAACCAGAACAGACATCCGCACAGTAAAAACACAACTTAATCCACTGACGCCAAGTCTCCTCAAAACCCATGCGGTCCAGAACATACCATAATAACTCCCAACTAACATGGTCATAAGCCTTCTCTATGTCCAACTTACAAATCAAACCAGGCCACCCTTGTCGAATCTAAGAATCCACGCACTCATTAGCCACCAAAACTGCATCCAAAATCTGTCGCCCACCTAGAAATACATTTTGAGATTCGAACACAACATCCTGCAAAACTCCCCTAAATCTATTTGCCAAAACTTTAGCCAATAGCTTATATACACTCCCCAGCAAACTGATTAGCCTAAAATTTCGAATATCCTCAGCTCCCTTTTTCTTAAGAATCAAAGCCAAAAAGGTCGCATTGAAGCTCCTCTCAAACTGCCCAGACACAAAGAAAGCCTCCATTGTCGCCATCACATCCACCTTAACCAAACTCCAATACTGCTGAAAAAATGCCATAGTAAAACCGTTTGGGCCTGATCACCCCTAAAGCCCCAAACACCTCATCTTCTATAAAATCTCTCTCCAAAGCCACCCTATCCTCTCCTGAGATTATATAAAAATGAACCCCATCCAACTCCGGCCGCCACTCCCCTTCTTGCGGCTGAACCAATGTTGAAAAAAGCCCACTATCCCCCCCGTGATTTCTTCATCTGTATTCAAATCTCAACCGTCCACACGCATCCTACTAATCTGACTAACCCGGCAATAAGCATTAGCCATCCGATAAAAAAAACTGTGTTCGGTCAACCATAAACATCTAGATTTCTGTCTATAACCCTGCTCCTCCAAATGGAAAATACGAACAAAATCCTGTCTAGCAGCTTCCTTTCTGACAACATCATCACTAGATAACCCCCACTAAGCCTCTGTCTCATCTAGGCACTAAAGCAAAGACATCACCTCCGCCTTCTGACCCTCTATTCGACCAAAGACCTCCTCATTTCTTCATCTGTATTCAAATCTCAACCGTCCACACGCATCCTACTAATCTGACTAACCCGGCAATAAGCATTAGCCATCCGATAAAAAAACTGTGTTTCGGTCAACCATAAACATCTAGATTTCTGTCTATAACCCTGCTCCTCCAAATGGAAAATACGAACAAAATCCTGTCTAGCAGCTTCCTTTCTGACAACATCATCACTAGATAACCCCCACTAAGCCTCTGTCTCATCTAGGCACTAAAGCAAAGACATCACCTCCGCCTTCTGACCCTCTATTCGACCAAAGACCTCCTCTTTCCAACCTTAAGACCACCCTTTAGCAATTTCAATTTCTGGGCCAATACACAACTAGGCGATCCTCGAACAACATAACTATTCCATCACCCACGGACCATATCCAAGAAACCATCCGACTACAACCACATGTTCTCGAATTGGAGCGGCGTTGGACCATTATCAAGCAAAAGGTGCCAATGATCAGACATTGGACGAGGAAGAATCTAAACCACCTCTGAGAAATGTTCCTCCCAGTCACTAGAAACCAAAAACTGGTCAATCCAAGACAAACTCTGTCCTTTCAAGTGAAACTCCCCCCTGAAGCTGCAAATCAATCAATCGCAATTCATTAATGAATGAACAAAAATTCCGCATAGAACTAAACACCCAAGAACTCCCCACCTTCTCTGTCGGCCACCTAACCACATTAAAATCACCCCCCACACCATGTCTCTGACCAACAAAAAGCCACACTCCCCAATTCTTCTGGAACTCACCTCGATCTATACTCCGCACCGGACCATACACTCCCATGAACACCCATAAAAAATTATCCTCCAAAACAAGTAAGACACAGAAAACAAAACCCCATCTTCTCCTCCTCCTCCTCCTCCTCCTCCACCACTTTCTTATCCCAACAAAGAACTCCGCTTGTTGTACCCAAAGCCGGCAAGTACATCCACCCCACAAACCTCTCACCCTAAATTTCACGCACCATCTCCTCCCCCAACACCTCCATCATTGTCTCCTGTAAACACACAACATCAACTTTCGCACTATGCAAAACCGCCCTCATTGCCACTCTTTTATCCCTATCATGAAACCCTTATGCATTCTATGACAGAATTTTTAACTTCATTTCTACAAAAGTGGTCCCCCACGGTTTCTCCTCGATCAACGCACTGTCTTCGCCTCCCCATGATCATAATTAATGGAGCATTCTAAATTCCTAAGCTCTCGATTCCCTTTATGAAGAATATCTGATGAAGTTACCATCTCCTTGCTAATAAACCCCTACCGCCATGACGCCTCCACTACCGAAAATAGTCTCAAGGCCTCATCCTCATGACCTTCAAACGACAGCCCTAGCAACCAATTGACATCATTAATTTGTTCCAACACCCAATCAGAAACCTCTTCAGCCAATGGCACCTTGTCCCTACCCAAACCACCATTGCCACAATCATCCTACCGGACACGATTAGACCAAGCCTCCTGCAAGCCATCATCAAGGGCCAGAGATTG